CCCTCCCCCTCTCCCTCTCCCTCTCCCTCTCTCTCCCCCTACTTCCTGGCTGCCATAAGATGAGCACCTTTCCTCCACCATGGCCTTCCACTATGATGTTTCTGCCTCACCTCAGCCTAAAGCAATGGAGCCAGCTGACCATGGTCTAAAACCTCGCAAGTTGTGAGCTAAAATAAAATCTTTCTTCTGTAGAGTTGATTTATGTCAAGTACTTTTTCACAGTGACAGTGACTAACACACTAAGATATTGTTTGTCTTTTTCCCTTTCCTTGTCTCCCTCTGTACAGTGGGGGTTTCCAGAGGCTCGGTGACAAGATGACATCATTGCTTTGATGGCTAATGGATTGTGTACTTGTATATCTCATACTTTAAAAGTTCCCAGTTTCTTGAAGCAGAATTAGGAGTTTGAGGCCAGACTGGGCTATATAAGGCATTCAAGGCCAACCTGGGTTAATGGCAAGACCTGGCTCAAAAAGAAAGAAAAAAACTTCTCCGTTTCAATTTCTAATATGTTAAGCAATTGCAGATAGAACCCATAAAAAACTTTTAAACAAAACCTCCAAGATCCTCAGTAATGTTTTAGAATGTGAATAGGTTCTGGGGTGAAAGTCTGAGCCCCACTCATGCCAAATGTGGGTTTTACCAGAGGTTCCTGGCCACAGGTACGTGAGCTCTACCACCAGCACCTGGGCTCCTCTCCTGTGACGTGAGCACCCTGGGCCATGTTCCTAGCTCGTGCTCTGCACATGGGTGTGAGAACACTGCACAGCCCACAGCCTCTCTTGCACAGCACACGCCGCCCCAGAGGCTGTACTGGCTTACTCAGCACCTGGCCCACGACAGCAGCCCCTCCACACAGGGCACGGAGATCCCTAGCCAGACCAGGGCTGCTGGTGACACCCACCCTGCCCCTGCCTCATTTTAGATACTCTTAAATGTCACACTCTGTAGTCATACAGCGCCACCCCAGCAGGGCTGAAGGCGAAGTTGCTGTCTGGCAAGGCACCTGGGGTACACTATGGCCCCGGGGAGGTGGCAGAAGATGGATTCAGTCTTCTCTCAGTTACAAGACGGCCTTCAGTATCCAGCAAAATTAAAAATGGGGGCAGCGGGGTATCATCCTCACCAACACTGACAGACTTTCTTCCGGATACAGTGTAACACTCAACAGCGTTCACATTGCATCGGGTGTCCTAGGTTACTGCCTAACAGAGCAGCTTCCAAGCATGCAGGAGGATGTAGGTAGGCAGATGCTGTGTCATTTTATAGAAGGCATTTGAGCACCTTTGAATTTGGTATCCTGCAGCTGACCTCAAGGATACTAAGGGACTACTGTACACACAATCAAACCTCCCCACCATCTCACTGCTGATTAACTCTGATCACAACTGTTTTTGTTTTTTTTTTTTTTTTAAGAGACTGGGAAGAGGTAGAGTTCTCTCCACTCTTAGTTTGGCTCAGGCTGACCTGAAACGCTGTAGGGGGCGGGGTCCCTGCCTGGGGTGCAGGGCAGAGAAGCCCAAGTGACTGGCAGTGCCACAAGGGAGAGCGAAGCAGAAAACAGAGTCCAGCGAGTGGGCCAGAGGGTGGAGGGCAGACACAGAAGTGGACAGAAGGGCTGTCCCTCACCTCCCAGTGCCCAGCTCTACTCACCGAGGACGATGAGCTCCGCGTAGGCCTCATTGTTTCCCTGGAGGTCCTGGGCTGAGACCACAGAGCAGTAGTACACACCACTGTCCCCCCAAGCCGTCTGCTCAAAAGTCAGGTCAGCATCTGGGCAGGAAGAGAGGTGTAAGGGCTCCTCACAGGCAGGCGCCTGGCCCCCGCCAGACCCAAGACCCCCCCATACCCACAGGCCAGCTGGGGAGGGGGTGCAAACAAATCAGTCCAAACTTAAACCATTCTCACCTGGTGTGTAATGTTTTTCTCTTCCTTTTTTATCGGCACTGGGATTGAATCCAGGATCTTTGCACTGAGCTAGAGCCCAAGCCTTTATTTTTTATTTTGAGACAGCATCTCCCTAAGTTGCCCAAGCTGGGCTCGAACATGTGAACCTCCTTCCTCAGCCTCCCACAGTGCTGGCATTACAGGCAAGTGCCACCATGCTTACTTTGTTGAGTTATTTCACAAAGTCTTGGATATAGACATCATCCAGTTTTGTAGGAGAGATGACCTAACACACCGAGTTGTATGGATCACTGATGCCAGGGCTGGGACAGAGTGACTTCAGGACCAGCACTTTTCAAGTCAGAAAATCTCCTATGATATCTCCAAGCCAAGGTCGAACCTCCCCTGACACAGCCACAGAGCTGGTAAAACAGGGACTGGGCCAGAGGAAAAAGGCACTGCTCCCCAGGCCAGGTTCCAGATAGGAGGTGCCCAGGCACTGAGGGCAAGTGGGTGTGATGTATGGGAGAGACCGACTCTCCCAGTCTGCCCCTGTCTGGAAGGGGACAGGGACCATCCCTACAATCTAGGTCAGGCCCAGGGCTTGGGGACGCTCTGGTCTGCAGCAGCCCTAGGCAAGGAGACTGTTAATTATGCCTCTAATCAAAGTCTTTTGAGCACATCCGATTTCCTAACTACTCCTCGGGCCCTAATTAGTTAAATTCCTCGCCATGTACCAGTGAGGGTCAGGATGGCACCTGCGTGGCAAGGCTGCCATAGGCCCACAGGGGACAGAAAGAGGCTAGAGGTGAGCACCCAAGCCAGGAGAGCCCACAGGTGTTCTACACCACCGCTCCAAACACCACAGGGGACATTCTGACCACACGCTACCACGTCAGCCGCATCCCTGCCACCTCCTTCACTCACTACGCACCTGCTGGGCTCAGGCCTGCCTCGGTTTCCCCCACTGTGCCTCCTCATGGCTAATTCCTTGTCAGTACGAAAGCTTCGGTGTGGAGGAGTGTTCCCTGGCACAGGTCCCCTGCTCAAGTGCTTGTCTCTGCCCCGGTGACAGCAGGGACTTTGTGTACCAAAACTGAGTCTGTCTAGACTGGTGGTGATGAACCCATGGTACGCATGCCACAGCGGGGTGTATCACTGAAAGCTCTGAAAGGTTTCCCATCACTGGACTGGGTCATGCTGGCTTAACGTGGGGCCTGTCCCAGGGTCAGAAACAGCCCCTCCTCTCCGCATGCCGCCTTCCTTAGCTCCTGTTGTCTGTCCCAGCATTCTGGACAGATGTCACAGACAGACACTTATTCCATTCAGCCAACGTTCAGTGAATACCAAGCGTGTCTGATGTTCAGGCAGCATTTGAGGCAGGTGGTGTAGGAAAAAGCATGGCTCTCGGTTTGGTCTGTGTCCCTGTGGGTAAAGACGTCACATGCCCTTTCCCTTCATCTCTCCTGAATGCACTGTGGCCTTTCCCACAGGGTACGTGACATGTGAGGGACAGCACAACAGATCAAAGAAACTTTGAGAATCCAGCTTCTACTGTGCCAGATAGTACAGGGATCTGCACAAGTAAGAAACAATGTCATTCTTCTCATTAAAACTTTTGGGGGGGCTGGAACATAAGTTATACTTTCATACAAAGTATTAATTTTTGGTTTTTTTGAAATAGGGCTTCACTACATAATTCAGGCTGGCCTTGAACTCTTTATTTAACTCAAGCTGTCCCCAAACTCATCACGATCTTTCTGCCTCAGCTTCTGAAGTGCTAGGATACTAGGCATGGGCCATCACACCTGGCAGAAAAAGTACGTTATTTTTGTAATGAGTTTATGATTGACTTTGAAATATTTTTAAAATGCAGTTTGCTAGCTACAAAAAACACAAGCTTATGAGATCCTCTATAATTAAGAGTGTAAAGACTTTTGAGAACCACTGCCATGGAGAATTCACCCTGGTAGAGCTCCTATTATAACTATGGAGGAGGGACAAATAAAAACTAATCACATTGCATATCGGAGAGTGATAAAGAGTATGGAGCAAATGAACTCGAAAGGCAGCAAGTACCAGACAGGGTGGGGGAGCTGTGCAACTGCAAATAAGGAGGCCAGGAGGCTCCCAGAGGTGACCTTCTGACCATACATGGTGGGATGGCAGCTATGACTCGCCTCCAGAGCCAGGCATTTGGCCACCATCTACTGAGCTATTGCTATGTGCATGAATCCATTCTTTCACTGAATCCTCAAAAACTGCAAACCAGATTCTCCTAAATACAGGTTTTTCTGCAGCGCCCTCTTGACCGTCATTTCCACCTGTCTTTGAGATGCATCAGTGGATGGCTGCTGTAGCCTGGGGCACCCACAATTACTGCTCACGCAGAGCTGTGCAGCAGGAGGGTTCCGGGCCATGGGGCCAGGTGAGACAGGTCAACAGGAGCTGCTCAGATGGGGAGAAAGTGACCAGAAACTACAGAGCTGGGTGGGGTGCTCACCCTAGTCTGTTCCTGTTCGACAAGGGCCTAACACAGAGGTCCAGTGAGATTCTGATCATGCGCTCCCAATACCAGAATGCAAGAGCTGGTCCCTGCCCATGGCTGAAGAGGTAGACAGGAACCCCTGCTGTGGCAAACAATTACAGAGACTAGAAGTTGAAACCTGGAGTCTCCAGGGCCGGATCTGGGCTTTGGTGTGTTTTATTTGGATTTGTATGTTGTTTTTAAAATCCACAAGAAATATGGCTTTCCGGCTTCTTCTGATCAATCCTAAGACCTCAACCTACTTCCTTCCTGCAGGGTGGGCCCTGTTCCTGGTCACAGTGGCTGGGCATGGTTTTAATTGTTTCAGGTGCAGGGAAAAGATGCCAGTCTCCAGTGGGAACTCAGTGGGCCTCCTCCTCAACTCTGGCCTCTGCTTCCTTATCCATCCAGAGCAGGGGTGGCCTCATGATCTCCAAGGTCCCAAGGACTCTCTGCTCCAGCACTGCTGAGGGGTAGAAATGGGGCCTCAGATGCAGGTGCCCCATACTGCCTGGAGCAGGGAAGAAGGGGAGGGAGCACAGTCCACCCTGGGTGGAGGGACACCTCCAGTCTACCTAAGACTACCTTATCCTGTAAGCCCAGGGCAGCTGGAGACCCTAAGAACACCACAGAGGTCCACTTTGCCCTGCCCCTAAGATGAAGTGCAGAAAGCACCCAAGGCTACAGGCATTCTGAAAGGACATGGTCACAGCAGACACTTACCTATCGTGGCCTGTATCAAGTGTGGTTCGAGTCAAGGCAGTCTGAAAGACCAGGCCTCCAAGGTCTCTGGACATGAATGTCCCCCTCAGACAAGCCTGAGGGTGGCTCTGGGGTTTTGTGCCCAACAGAAGAGCCCAGATGCTAGCCAGCCCCCAGGGGCACTCTCCCTATGTGGTTGTCCTGATGCCAGATGTGGTTGGCTGATGCAGGTTGGTGCAGCATGAACCCCCAAGAAGCCTCGGGAACAGCAGGATGCTACAGGATGAGCTGGTCCCTCCCTTAAAACAGGACTGATGGGCTCTGCCTTTTATCTTTTATCTCCCTCCCTACTCTTCCCCATGCCCAGGTTCAACACCCTATCTTTCTGTAAGGCAGTGGAAGGACACACCCATTATGTGGATGAGTCACCGCCCCCACTACCACCCATCCCCTCCCCTCTGCCTTCTGGATTCTCCAGGGCCCTGTCCCAGCCCCTCTTCAGATCATGCAGACAGAGGTCGTAAGGTGGGTACAAACAAGTCACTGCACACGGTGACCACCAGACACCATCTTCTTTCCACCACTCAGCACTGTCTGAAATCCTCTGACTCCTTCCAAACCTGTCTGTTCACTGCCATCCTAACTCCCTTAGTGTGCCATCTCCTGGGGCAGGGACTTCAGCTGTCCTGATCTTGACACTGTCACCAGCACCTACAAGAACACTTGGCACCTCTTGTAAGCCCAGCACTCTGGGAGGCTGAGGCAGGAGGATCAAAATTCAGGGACAGCCTCAAAAACTTAGCAACTTAGCAAGACGCTATCTCAGAATTTTTAAAAATTTAAAAAAGGGCTGAGAGTGTATCTCAGTTCAAAAGCCCAGGGTTCAATCCTGGGGAGCAGGGGGAATCATATGTCTCTTTAGATCACTCATGTCACCTCCCCTTTGTCCCCTGAGCAAGCACAGAGACTAGCAGCTTGGGAACTAGTCCCAAGGTGGCTGAATTGGAACCCAGCTCAAACCAACGGTGATCCTAGGCAAGTCACTTCATCTCACTGGGCCTCAGTGAAGTAATAGTAATAGAAACAACTCCTTCCAATTACTGTGTGGTCTAAATGAGTTAATCCACATGAACCTGGATTAGAGTCTGCCACTTAGCGGGCCCTTTGTCAATAGTCATTTCTAAAAACTACTTCTTACTGCAGGTATTATTAGTGTTATTATAAAATAAACCCCTGCCTCTCTATCACCCTGTTTCCTTCATCTGCAAGCACTTGATATTCTGTATTGCATTTCTTTCCCTCACTGTGATTTAAGCTCCATGAGGGAAGTGAATTTGCTTGTTGGGTTTACGGCTGTGTTCCCAGGGCCTAGAATAGCACCTGGTATGCAGTAGGCACTCCATAAATCTCTGAGATAAAGGGACGCGTGGATGTGTGGAAACAAGTATCCCTCCCTGCATTGGTCCTGACACTGGGGCGCATGAACTCTGGGCTGGGCACCAGGGTGCCCACCAGCTTCCTTTCTCGCCCTGCCTCACCCCACGTACTTCCCGTGATGGTGATCCTCCGGCCCTGATAGTAGTCTCCCAGGGTCACAGCGTTGCCCTGCTTGGTAGCCACAACCCTGACAGTGCGCACGCTGTCCTGGCACTCCACATACGGGTTGTAGCCGGGGTTGCCGGCTGCCAGCTGGGCGTTGATCTGGTTATCCACGCTGGCTGGGGAGAACGCATCAGCGATGCGGTCCCGGCAGAAGGACTTGTACTTCCACATCACGATGGGTGCCGTGAGGGTCGTGGTCATCTGGTAGGAGCAGGGCAGGGTGACGGGCTGGAATAGGATCACTACATGGTAGGGGTTGGACACAGTCACCTGGATGGCACCGGCAGGCACTGAGGGCAAGAGCAGAATGAGCAGGGACCGCTGTGAACTCGGAATTATTTCAACAAGAATGAGCAGCATCACCTGTCACCAAGTTGACACAAGTATATGGCGTTACAGGGTGCCTTAATCCCCAGGACGGGTGAGGCAGCTCCCATAATTGTGCCCATCTTATAGAGCCATGGGGCTGAAAAGTGGCAGATACGAGGTCCAGATTTCTGGAATGTGCTGTCCATCTCTTCCCAGACCTGGCCGCTGCACCCCTGAGGTTCTCTTCTTTTCACCATTCTCTCACAGAAAGGGACGCCTCTCTGTCATGGGCAAGCCCAGAAGGCCATACTATCCCCGGGGCTCAAGGAAGGCCTCACTTCAAAATGAGTTGCCAGGGGTTCCAAGTTACCCGGGCTTTTGTGTAATTCGCAGCTGTTTGATTGAATAATCCATTCGAGTGGCAGACGCCCCTCCCCCATCTCCGTCATCCTCACCCTTCACCCTACCTCAAAGCCACCTCAAATGCGTTCCCAAATGTGCTTGGCGAAAGACAAAGGACCCAGACCCCGCCAGAAAGAAAGTCCGACCAGATGGGAGGCTGCCAGCGGAAGATGGTTCGGGTCCAGAAGTCCAGCTCACTGACTTTTACCTACAGAGACTCTGGAGTCCGCGGGAGGTGGGTGGGGGTGGGGGATGGGGAGTCACGAATCCCACACCCACTCGAAGCCTAGGAACTATTTCTTATCCCTTTTCCAAGGAAACATCTGATCCAGACTCCAAATGCTCTCTCCCCGTTACCCCAATACTTAGGATCTCGGGGTGGGCCCAAGACCCCATACCGGACTCTCCCGTGATCGGGTAGTTCTTCAGCCCTGACCCACAAAGAGTCCCCTCTTTTCTTCAGCTTCAGGGGCTGATGGTTCCGGAGTTTCACTTCCTGCTATCTCCCAACAGAGCAGAAGGAGCGCTCCGCGAGACGGATGGGGGAATCCCCTCCCTTGGGAGGGCAAAGGCCTCCCTAGACCGGCGGATCTGGAGTCCCGAGTCTCTGCGCCCTCCCACCCCGTCACCCCCCAAGTTCTCCCACCTCTGGGGCCGCTAAGAACTTGGTCCACCGCTTCTGAAGCGCCCCCCGCCGCCGCAGGGCCCGCTCCCAGCACCCCGTACCTGTGCACCAGGTGCTGAGAAGGAGCCAAACGAAGACGACCGCAGCCGTGTGGGAGCCAGGCCCACAGGAGCGC